TCAGCCATTCCAGGAGTTTGAGCGCAGGTTTGGAGAGAGGTGGCACCTAGGAACCTCCGATGGGCCTTTCACCTGCCACGCCCCGGTGGAATCCGGGGCGGGGTCAAGGGCGGGTCCCGGACGCGCCCGGCCCACTCCGCCTCCGGGACGTCGTCCAGGTCCCCCGCCCCCGCCGCCAACAGCTGATGGGGACGGAGGAAGAGGAAGAGGTGGAGCTGCTTTGCGGCTCGCTGCCGAGCTGTCAGCCAGCAGCGGGGCGAACTGGCGGACCCTCGCGCTGTCCCCACGGCTGCGAGGCCAGCCAGGGCCTAGACTGGCGGGGCCGGGACAGGCGACCTGCCCGGCCGGCAATGCCCCGCCACGGAGTAACTCCCAGCCGGGGCCGCCCCAGGTCCGGCGGGGAGCGGCGATCGGACAGGTCCTGCGGGGCCCCCGGCCTGGGGATCCTAGGGATGGCGCTGGCCCTCTTCTCCTCCCTGGCTCTCTGGACCCCGGCGGCGGCCCACCCACTCCCCGCCCAAGGCTATTTCGCCAGTTTCAGTGGCCTAGCGCCCCAGGTCCGGGACACCTTTGGATGGTGGAACCTCACCTGCCCGGTCTGCAAAAGCCTGTTCACCATCCTCGACTTCGGACTGCAGGTGAGTGCTGTGGGGGCTGTGGGGAAGCAGGCCCGCCGGAGAGCGCCAGGGCCCGGGGCCCCGAGAGCACCCCCACGGGGAAAGGCTGGCCTCCACAAGCCTTCACTGAACTTGTTCTCCTTTAAGGACACCCCTGGCTGTACGCCGCCCTGCCTCCATGGTGACCTTGTGAAGTAAGGGAACCGTGCAAATTATACACTGAGCGCTGTGCTAGCCTTTTGGTACAGGTTAAAGCAGGCCTGCGAGCTGGTTTCATCACTGCTGCTGTCTCCGTTTTACAAATGGATAGATTTCCAGGGAGGTGAAGTCACTTGTCCAAGGGCAGATGACTGGCCGGGGGGAGACTGGGACTTCATCCGGGTGTGCCTGGTACTAGCTACTCAAAAGGGACTTGAATAAAGAGGTACCCAGGGGTGTAGGACCAGCTGGGGCCGCCTTGACCCTGATCGAGTTATGATGAGTACTGGTGGTTAGGCAAGCTTTGTGAGGCTCCCCAGATCAGCAGGGCCCTGCCCCTGTGTGTGCCTCCAAACCCTGGACAGTGTGTCATTGTGCCTGCCCAGCCCAAACTTCAGGGCACACTGAAGACTGTGCCTGAGAAAGCCGACTGGGCAAACAAAGGCCTGAAATGGAGCTGGAGAGGAGTGCTGGCCTGGTGCTGCCTGAGTCACGGGGCGGCATCTGTGGGAGGCAGAGGGGGCGCTGAGGTCTCTTCGCCATAGTGGCACCGGTCCAGTCCAGCCCAGTTTGGATAGGGAGGCCCACAGGGTGGTAGCCAGGGGACGGCCTGGCCCCTGTGCTCTGACTCTGACCTCTCACCACCGGGTCTTTCCGCCACAGAAAGAGAATAATGTGGTCCGGGTGGGCTCCCTGGCCACCAAGCTGTGCCAGCTGCTGAAGATCGCACCCCCCGCCGTGTGCCAGTCAGCCGTTCAGCTCTTTGAGGATGACATGGTGGAGGTGTGGAGACGCTCAGTACTGAGCCCATCTGAGGCCTGTGGCCTGCTCCTGGGCTCCACCTGTGGGCACTGGGACATTTTCTCATCTTGGAACATCTCCTTGCCAGCCGTGCCGAAGCCGGCTCCCCAGCCTCCCAAACCGCCAGCCCCAGGTGCCCCAGTCAGCCGAGTCCTCTTCCTCACGGACCTGCACTGGGATCGGGACTACCTGGAGGGCACAGACCCTGACTGTGAAGACCCGCTGTGTTGCCGCCGGGGTTCTGGCCCGCCACCCGCCTCCCGCCCAGGTGCTGGATACTGGGGCGAGTACAGCAAGTGTGACCTGCCCCTGCGGACGCTGGAGAGCCTGTTGAGCGGGCTGGGCCCCGCCGGCCCTTTTGATATGGTGTACTGGACGGGAGACATCCCCGCCCATAACGTCTGGCACCAGTCTCGGCAGGACCAGCTGCAGGCCCTGACCACTGTGACAGCCCTTGTGAAGAAGTACTTGGGGCCAGTGCCTGTGTATCCTGCGGTGGGCAACCACGAGAGCACACCCGTCAATGGCTTCCCTCCCCCCTTCATAGAGGGCAACCAATCCTCCCGCTGGCTCTACGAGGCCATGGCCAAGGCATGGGAGCCCTGGCTGCCAGCTGAAGCCCTTCACACCCTCAGGTACTTGAGGTCCATGGGAAAACGGGAGTGGAAAAGAAAGGTGGATGAAAGTGAAGGGAGCAGGGAACCCGGGCATTATCTCTGACCTCTGCTCTCCTCTCGGGCCTCCCTAATCTGACCCCTCCTTCCCTTCCCACCCTTATCTCCCGCCACCCTCCTCACAGGGCTGGCAGCATACCTTCTCCTTCTAGCCTCTGCTTTGCTCATGTTGGCCCTCTCTAGAATGCCTTCCCCTCCTGTTGACATCCTACCTTTCCCCAACTTACCCAGGCCCATGTCATCTTTCCTGAGTGGCCGCTGCTTCCCATTCTAGCTCACTTTTCTCTCTACTCTGAACTCCTAGAGCTCTTAGCCCTCTAAACCACTCTCCTGTCACTCAGGCCCTATCATCATGCTCTTTGGTCTTCAGCTAGAGCAGTGGTTCTCAACCTTCCTAATGCCATGACCCTTTAATACAGTTCCTCATGTTGTGGTGACCCCCAACCATAAAATTATTTTTGTTGCTACTTCATAACTGTAATTTTGCTACTGTTATGAATCATAATGTAAATATCTGATATGCAGGATGTATTTTCATTGTTACAAACTGAACATAATTAAAGCATAGTGATTAATCACAAAAACAATATGTAATTATATATGTGTTTTCCGATGGTCTTAGGCGACCCCTGTATAAGGGTCATTCGACCCCCAAAGGGGTCGTGACCCACAGGTTGAGAACCACTGAACTAAAGTGTGAGCTTCTTGAGGGTAGAGCTGATGGTCTGTATGCCTTCGCCGTCCGTCCAAATGTCTCGCACAGGACTGGGCATGCAGGACCAGGGTTATGAATGACTGTTGACCCCTTGTGTTCACTTTATTTCAGAATTGGGGGGTTCTATGCCCTTTCCCCAAGCCCCGGCCTCCGCCTCATCTCTCTCAATATGAATTTTTGTTCCCGTGAGAACTTCTGGCTCTTGATCAACTCCACAGATCCCGCTGGACAGCTCCAGTGGCTGGTGGGAGAGCTTCAGGCTGCTGAGGATCGAGGAGACAAGGTGAGGGAGAGTGGGGAGCATGATGGCATCGGTGCCCAACGAGGGGAGCAGCAGGCGCTTCTTAATAGACTCCTGTCTGGAGCTGGAGCATCTGTGAGCAGAGACGCTTCCAACAACAGCGTTCTCTCGGGGTGCTGCTCAAGGTCATCCTTAGAAGTCCTTTTGTTCACTCACCCTCTCTCTGGCCAAAAATGCCCGTCAGTGTAGATGAGTACCAACTCCCCTGGCCTGGGCTGTCTGAACCCCTCCTTCCCCATAACCATCCTTACCTCTCTCCACAGGTGCATATAATTGGCCACATCCCCCCAGGGCACTGCCTGAAAAGCTGGAGCTGGAATTATTACCGAATTGTAGCCAGGTAGGAGGGAGGTGGGGGTGGGAGGATGAAGAGTGAAATTCCTTTGAGCCTCTTAACATTCCTGCTGCCCCAACCCAGTGGGGAGGCCGCGTACTTAGAAGGCATCCATTCCTCCTCCTCCCTAGACCCTTCTGAATATGATTCCTGTCCCTGGCTAGGTACGAGAACACCTTGGCTGGTCAGTTCTTTGGCCACACCCACGTGGATGAGTTTGAAATCTTCTATGACGAGGAGACCCTGAGCCGGCCACTCTCTGTAGCTTTCCTGGCACCCAGTGCCACCACCTACATCAGCCTGAATCCTGGTGAGTGAGGCAGAGGGCAGCTGTTGAAATAGGGGGCGGGATGGGGGGGTGGTTGCTGGGTTAAAGGGGCAGGTTCGAGCCTAGGCCAGCAAGGGGCTGGACATGAGGCCTCTCCCCTCTGTTGCCTTTGCTCTCTGAGTTCCCAGCCAGCCCCTCCCTTCTTGTAGGTTACCGGGTCTACCTAATAGACGGCAACTACCCCGGGAGCTCTCACGTGGTCCTGGATCATGAGACCTACATCCTGAACCTGACCCAAGCTAATCAGCCGGGGGCCACTCCGCACTGGCATCTCCTCTACAGGGCTCTAGAGACCTACGGGCTGCCCAATGCGCTGCCTGCCGCCTGGAACGACCTGGTATACCGCATGCGGGGCGACACGCAGCTGTTCCAGACCTTCTGGTTTCTCTACCATAAGGGCCACCCGCCCTCCGAGCCCTGTGGCACGCCCTGCCGCCTCGCTACTCTGTGCGCCCAGCTCTCCGCCCGCTCCGACAGCCCTGCTCTGTGCCGCCACCTGGTGCCAGACGCAAGCATCGCCGACGTCCAGAGCCATCAGCGACGGCCGCTCTGCTAGAGTTGGGGAAAGTGCGTGTCTTAGGAGGGGAGCAGAGACCCCAGAAGGCCGCTGTGGTGAGAAACGTCAGTGAAGAGCCTTTACTGGGCCCCAAGTACACGGGAAACAGCCCCTTCTCCTTGCCTGGAGTTGGGGTGGCAAGGCATGGACAGGGATTGGTGGCTCTGCCCGTTTGCAGCATTGAGGCTGCTGTCTTTTCACAGACTAGGAGCAGTGGTCTCAGTTGGCAGTGCCCCGGGCAGACCAGACAGGGGCTGTCGCCCCAGGCCCGTGCTGGCCGGCCAGGAACACTACTGCTGCTGCTGCCTGGCTGCCAGGCGGTTAATAAAGAGACTTGGACTCCAGATCCTCTCCTTCTGTGACTGCCCCAATTTCTTCTTTCAAGGCAGGCAGGGCAAGAGGACCTTGGGAACAAGATCCTAACAGAGGGATCAGGGTAATGGGGGTGATGCGGGCACAGGAAGTGACACAGCTCAGCAGGGCAGACAGACTTTATTAGTGATATCAGTACAGCAGAGGTGCCATGGAGCAGGGGGGAGGGGGGCCCATGTCTGGACTGGTCCCCTACTTCACCCCCTGCTGGACCCCACGAAGATGGGGCCTGGCCTGGCATTCCTCCTGCTCCACCTGAATTGTGGGGATGGAGAAGTCGGGGCTGGCTTTGCTTCCTGCTCCTCTTATCAATCCAGTATTGTCACTTCCTTGAATGGATTAGACGTCTCCCCCCACCCCAGCCCCTAGGCAGGGAACCCAGCTACAGAGAAGGGGCAGCTTGGGAGGGGAGTGGGGCTGAGGCCTAAGAATAGCCTCTAGGGCCCCTCCCTGCCCCATACCCTTGGGTTCCCTGGGGCCTAATGCCAGCAGGTGGAGGAAGAACTGAGGGCTTCAGGGGGTGTGGGCCCCCAGGCGTTTGGGCTTGAGGGAGCCCCACAGCGACTGGACACCCCTGCGAACAGTCCACCCTACGCGCCGGGCAACGGACTCAGCAGGGGGTGCAGGGAGGCAGGAGGTGGAGGCCTGGGAGCGGGCATCCAGACACTTCTGGTAGCGGAGCTGCAGAGACAGGCGAGGCAGTCATTCTCCAGCCTGCCCCGCCAGGGGGCCGTGTCCCCACCCCACCATCCTACCCACTTACCATGCATGCAGCCTGCACGGCTTCGGAGAGGCTGGCGGCATTAGGCTCGCACCAGAACATGTGGCAGCAGAAGGAGGCTGGGCCGGCAGCCATGATGAATGCGAACGTGTGGACATCTCTGCCCACCGCCAGGAAGGAGAGGAAGCGCACCCGACACTCTCCCAGCACTGCCTCCGTCTGGAGGGAAGGGCCCCAGTTAGTAAGGAACAGCCCGACTCTGTTCCATGGGCACATCCATCTCATTGGCAGCTCTTGCCCTCACTCCCCAGTCTCCCCTCCGCGGCAAAGCACTGCCACGCCTTCTCCATCCCAGGTCTTTACCTGCTGATGCAAGATGGTGAGGGTGGCAGGGGCCACGCTGACGTGACTTGGGGTCCACTGCTCCCGGCTACTGGAGGACAGGACGGACTCCAGGGCCCCATTTATTACATCTACCCCTAGAAGACACAGACACACATACATGGCACCACTGGAGGTGGGGAGAGGACACCCCGGATCTACCCTAGACTTTCCAGCTCTGCCCAGTCAAACCCAGGGCCTTTGTTCCATCCCCACTTCACCAGCCTACAGCCCCCATGGTGCTTTCCTCCTGGGCTCCAGTGACTTGCCACTTGTCTGGTTTCTCCCATCCTAAATCCTAGGGTTGTTTTTCTTCTCTATTCTCCCTCTTCTGCGTGCACTCAGAGGAGAACCCAGCCTCCTAACCCGTTGACCTCCTGGAGCTCTGACCTCACCATATCTGACTCACCCACATTCAGACCTTGTGCTGCACACACAACATTGGACTCCGAAATCAGCCCCTCAGGCTAGTCCTCTCCCAAGACCCAACCTTTGTTTTTTTAAAGATACCCATTTAAGGAAATGTTTACTCTGTGTCACTCTGTTAAATCATTAAGTGTCTTTCAACAGTCTCACAATAGATCCTTTTATAGATAAGGACGCTCACAGACATCAGGAAATAAATCTTAGGTCACATGGAGGGGTGGGGTGTCAAAATCTTAGTTGTGCTTAATAGTTTCTATAATGTGCTCAAAGGCCAAGGAACCCAAGGTCCCTGGCTTTCATTAGATCAGCCAGTTTTTCCTTGAAACACAATGGTTTCTTCCACTTCTGCTGACACCCAGCGAGAACCCAGGCGGCAGCACATGGCGTGGTGGAGGCATGGGTTCCAGTCCCTGCACCGCTCAGGACTGGCTTTGTGACCTACGTGTCTTCACCCCTGTAGTGGTGAACAGTGCCATCGCAAAAGCATCCCATGCAAAAGCATCCCACGCAAAAGCACACGCCTCTGTGGTCCCTCGGGGCCCTCTGTGCTCCCACCAGAAACAGACCACAGGGACCCTCTTGGGGCAGAGGACAGATGTCTTCCTCCACAGTTCTCCCTCACGTTGACTTTGCTCATCTTACCTCTGGCTGGATCCAGGCCAAGCTCCCAAGCACGCTAGGCCTCTAAAACCTGGCCTCCTCTGAGCTGTCAAGCCTCCTATTTGACTGCTCCCTGAGCTTCAGATGACTTATGGAACATTTATTAACATCTCATCTGGGCAAATGCCCTGTGAGGCAGGTGGGGAATAGAAAATGAAAGAGGATACCCTGAGGGACACAGGATGTTACTGAGGGTAAGGCCTCGGTGTGGAGTGCACCTTCCCCCCTTGACTGCCTGAGAAACTCATCCTTCAGGGTTCACCCACACCCCACCTAGGAAGCCTTCCCTGCTGTAGGCAGAGAGAGGGTGTTGCTGGGTCAACTCTTAGCAAAACATCTAATAACTGCTTAGGACCTTTCCTACCCTGGGCTGGCCATCTCAAGGACAGAAACCAAGTTTCATTCATCTCTGTGTTGCCAATCCTAGCACAGGGCTTATCTACTGAAGGATTTCCAGATGCATGAGCAAGTCACCCTCAAGGCAACACGGGCCATGCACCCAAACTGGTATAACCAAGCCACCCGGGAGTCCACAGAAGGGTGTCACTGCAAGCAGGAGTGGTGGGCCAGGTCAGACTGCAGAGAGAGCTGTGCTGTGTATGACATTAAGCTCAGTTAATAGAAAGTCTCAAAGATCATGAGTTGCAGATGCGACTCTGAAATCAAACTGCTTAAGAAGCAGATGGGGCCCTGGCCAGTGTGTCTCAGTTGGTTGGAACATTGTCCCATACACCAAAAGGTTACGGTTTTGATTCCCTGTTGGGACACATACCTAGGCTGTGGGTTCAATTCCTGGTTGGGGCATGTATGGCGGGGGGGGGGGGGGGGGGGGAACCAATTGATGTGTTAATTTTTCTCTCTCCCTTCCTCTCTCTCCCCCCCTCCCCCCCCCAAAAATAAAAAAAAGCATATCCTCTGGTGGGGGGAAGCAGATGGGGCTGTGAGAGTGGGTCCTGGCCTCAGAGTGTGGGGAGGACCAGTGTGGAGGTAAGGGGAAAACAGTGGAAAAACGGGCCTGGAAAAAGCCTGAGTTGGTAACAACTCAGGGCTGAAACCTACACCCTAACTGCTAGCCCCACACTCCCATCCCCCTTATCCTGATGTGCATCCTTTTCATATCAGGTGTTGCCATCCAACATACTACATAACTTACTTATTTTATTGTCTATCTCTCCTGGCTAGAGTGTCAGCTACCTGAAGGCAAAAATCTCTGTCAGTTTTGTTCATTAATGTATACCAAGAACCCACAATAGTGCCTGGTACAAACCAGGCAGTCAGTAGTCATTTGCTGAGTGAATGAATATTGCAGCTTCAGCAGGAGCCAATGTTAACTCCCTGAGGTTCAGCCTAGCAGGTGTTGCTCAGTGACTGAGTGTTGACCTATGAAGCAGGAGGTCACAGTTCGATTCCCGGTCAGGGCACATGCCTAGGCTTAATCCCCAGTAGGGGACGTGCAGGAGGTAGCTGACCAATGATTTTCTCTCACCATTTGTTTCTATATCTCTCTCTCCCTCTCCCTTCCTCTCTGAAATAAATAAAAATATATTTTAAATAAACTCCCAGAGTTCAAAAAGGGAGCAGAAACCAAAGCAAGAAGTGAGCTTAGAGCCTACTGGTGTGAATGACCTGGCTTCAACAGAGCAGACACATTGAGCTAATGGACAACAGAGGGGCCATCAAGGGCTGCAGACAGATGGTTCAGTGTAGTGAGAACCTGTGTGAGGTGGATATGGGAGGTGGATATAGGAGTGGGGTTAATAACTGGAAGAGGTAACAAGGGCTTAGAAGCTGAGAGTGGGAGGGAGAGGAAGTGAGAGGGAATGTATAGGGGTCAAGCACCTCCTTTCTGCTCCCTCAGCATACTTTTCCACCTCCAAATCCATGTCTGCAGCAGTGCTATTGGATCCAACCAGAACAGCCACTCCTCTGCAACTCCAGCTCAATCCCTATCCTTCCTAAGAAGGGTGCCCTCGCTCAATCTAAGGTGCTGGTCATTACAGTCAGCATGGTTGGAGGGGAAGAGGAAAGAACTGAAGGTGACCAGGTTGAGTCCTAGGACCACCATCTCCTGGCTATGTCATCTGAGGCAAGTCTCATTCATTCATACATCTGTTTGTCTGTTTACCTATTCACCAAACATTGTTGAGTTCTTCCAAAGTGTCTTTCGACGTGACACCCAACCACTCCTTGAAGCAGTCTTCTTTTCCTCTAACTCTCTCCTGCTCTCACTATCCTTGGCAGTTTCACCCTCCTCCACTATCCATTACCGTAAATGTTGGAGGGCCTCAAACCTAGGCCTCGCCTCATTTCCCTTTTCACTGCAGGCTGCCCACTTTCTGGGGTCAGTCTTCGCCATACTCATGGCCTTGATTACCTCTATAATCCAAGGATGCCACATTTGTATCTCTAGCCCAGACCTCTCCTCTGTGAACCCAGATGCCTACTTGAGTTCCCCAAGGCACCTGAAACTCTGCATGTTTAAGACTGAACTCACAATCGCTGCACCACAACTGGCCTCTGGCAGTGTGTACCTTTAGAGAATGGCACCGTTACAAACGCTAGGTAGCCAGGAGTCGCCCTTAATGCCTCTGCCCCGCACCTCACATGAATCGTCAAGGCCTACTGATTTCAATTTG